TATGAAGTTCATTTTATCATTACCATCCTTTCCCCTATCATGAACCTGACTCAGAGACATGAAATGTGTCCAAGGTTTTCCATTTGGGACTGTAATTTGGCATCAAGTCTTGCTGATTTAAAGGCTCATGAGTTTAGCCTTTAAATGCACCACCCTTTCAGCAATGCTTTAAGAACAACCTTCAGGATGTGATTTCTAGACATCTGATTGCTCGGGTAGCCTGGTAGAAGACATTGTGGTCAAAGATTGTGAGAGGTCAGAACTTTCGTATCATTCAATATACTATCTTCTTCTTTTTTTCTATTTACCCCAGTGTTACATCCCACAAAACATCCTGAGAGAAAAAAAGTCATGAGGTTTAAGTTTGTTAATGATATTTAATTTAGATCATACATTCACAGAAACTTTGAGAGTTGTTCTCAGTAATTTTCTTGCTAGATTCTATATTTTTATGTTCCAAAGCTGAGAATTGCTCAGGTATAGTATCTGAGATTGTGGAGTGACTTACTGGAGTCTGTTGCTGTACTTAAACCTAGTTAGAGACTATCATGGTGACACAATATAGTTGCAGTACATTAGTTGGCTATATAGTAGAGAAATTTAATCATTAATTTCCTTCATTATAATATATCCTTGTATTTCTGCACTCCTTTTATCTACATTATCTCTTGTGAGCAGCTCAGCTATATTAATGGACAGGAATTATTATCCCCATTTTAGAGATGAAGGCTTTAAAGATGAGAGTGTTGATGTGATTTGTTCAAGGTCATAAAACTAGTAAGTGGAATGTTCTCCACTGGATCAAATGCTTTTTTCTACTTTATCATAGCCGTTGTACCCACTTGCTAGTAGGGGAGTATGATCAGTGTTTTTATATCCCTGGCCAGGTGTGAAAAATCTCAAACTATAATCCAGTCACATTGAATCATAATCTACAGTACTGGGATTTTGAGATCTATATTTTCTAAAAACTACAGTATTCAAAATTAAAAATTCATCTCCTAAATAATATTTCTCTTTTTGTTGTTGTTGTTTTTGATTCATTTTTTCCCATTTTTTTATTGTGGTGATAAAAAAAAACCATGTAACATTAAATTTACTGTCTTAACCATTTTTAAGTATACCGTTTAGTAGTGTTAAGTATATTGACATTGTGCAACTGATCTCTAGAATTTTTTCATCTTTCAAAACTGAAATTCTATACCCATTAAACACTAAATCCCCCTCCCTGTTGCTATTATTTTAATTTGAAATTCAAACTCAAAGGAACGTTGCAAGTGTAGTATTAAAAACTTGTTTCTCTCTTGAAATATTTGTGAGTAAATTGAAGTGTATTTTCTACAAACAAGGATATTTCCTGCATAACCACAGCACAGTCATCCAAACCAGGAAATGAAGACTAAATCATTACCACTATTAAATCAACAGACCCTGTTCATGTTTCTCCAATTTTAATAAGACCCAGTTGAAGATCACACATTGCATTTAGTTGTCCTATCAGTTTCATTTCCTTCAGTTTGAGATAGTTCTTTAGTATTTCTTTGACTTTTATGACCTTAACTCTTACAAAGAGTATAGGCTACTTTGCAGAACTTCCCTCAAATTTTGGTTTGTCTATATTTTCCTTAATTTAGAATTAGGTTATGCCCTACAAGAAAACTACAGAAGTGATGCTATGTTCTTCTTAATGAATTCTGTCAATTGGTATGTGATTTTGACTTGTTGCATTACTGGAGATGTAACCTTGATCACAAAATTAATATGGCATTTGCTAGCTTTCTCCACTCTAAAGGCACACTTTAGTTTTGACTTTGTAATTAATCCATATTTTCTGCAGAGGCACTTTGAGACTATGTATGTATCTTGTTTCTTGTCAGTTTTTTACACAACAGTTTCACCATCCATTGATTATTGGCTAAAATAAATATGATTGTGAAAGCTTCCATATGGTGATTTTGTAACTTTAAATTTCATCATTCTTAACTGCATTGACATTCTACTGTAAGGAAAAACTTTCTTTTCATTCCATTTATTTATTTGTTTATTTATATCTTTGTGGCTCATGAATTCCTGTTTTATTCAATGGCTTATAATCTTCTAATATCATTATTCTTTCTTTTGATATATAAATTGCTCCAGATTGGCTGTAAGAAATTCTGTCAAAATGGCTTCTGAGTCTTTTTGACATATTACATTAGCTTCTCAGTCCTTGATTGCTTTTTTTGCAAAAGAATATGCTCCAGAAATATTCTATCATTCTCAGAGTCATTTTCTGCCCTAGCCTTGTAATCAGTAATTTATCTATGAAACCTTGTTATTTTTTTTCATGAAAAATGTATTTGGAAACCAAGATCTCAACTCCAGGTGCTCTCACTGCTTTAGGGAGGAGGTGGGTCACTGCTCCAGTCCCTCTCAGTGGATACATATTTATGTCTATATTTTATTTATGTCTCTTCATATATATGTTGAAAATCAAGAGTCTGTACCAATATTTTCAATGATAATATATATCACTGCCATATTTATTCTAATTTTCCTCTCCCTATAAATGTATTCCCCCCCTTCTTGAGCAGTGATAATTTTTTTTTAGTATATTTACTGGTTATAAGAATCCTCTCCACACACCTGCCCCCACCTCTCCTTGCAGATGCTGTTGCCAGCTCTGCTTGGGCTCAGGCACTCTCAGCTCCAGCACCTGACTCCTTCCCCACAGTAAGGTTCACCTTGTTCAGCCCCACATCCTGGCTTTGGGTTAAACTTTTCTAGAACAGGAAGGCAGAAACAAAGAGGGAAGCAAAGAAAGAAGGAAGGTAGGAGAAGGAGAGAAGAAAGGAAATAAACTAATCAGTAAACATCTTAACAGCAGGATTCATTAGTTATCACACACCATGTCTAACACAGTGACTTATAATTATTAAGTGATCAGTAATTATTCTGGAGTGCCAAAAGAATGAAGGGATGAATAAAGAACAACTGAAGTCTGAGAAACATTTCACTAATATCAATATTGCCCAAAATGTGATGATGACTTACAATTTAAGACAAATTATTTATTTCTAGTACTAAACCAGCAACTTGCCAGTAAACTATTAAGAATTTACAGTCTGAAAAATTGGGGCAAGGTTGCTGAAAGAACACAACTAGTAATAAGTATAAAGTTATCTATAGCTATATCTATATCTATGTATTTTTAATACATGTACTTTAAGGTAAACTTTCTGGGTTTATCCATTCTTTCTCTCTTTTTCCTCACCACTTGGCTTGACTAAATAATATTATAATAACCTGTGTTCTCACAATATATTTTTAATGATGAAGGGATCAGAAGTTTGAGTTTTATTCTATACTCAGCAATTATATAAAGTTGTAAAACTACCTTGATATTTTAATATTGACTGATTTATCTGCAAAAAGTACAAGTTTTTTTTGTGTGTGGAAATTAATGAGAAGTACTTTGAGTGTTTTAAAGTGATCCTGTCGTAAAAAAATTCTTTCACTTCAGAGTTCAATGATTTTTATTTCAAGCCTTTACAATTATCCATTGTTATTATTCAGTGAGTTAGACTGTTCAGTCACTTTTTAAGTGTACATATTGGATTTAGTGGTCAGTTTCCAGCACTTTTACCAACAGCACTCCTACTCACTTGAATCTTTATTATGTTGACTTTTTATTTGACCCAAGAAAATGGAATAATTCCATGAATTTATTTGCCCACAAATTCCTCAAAATTAAATTTTGAGGACTATATCTTTTGGTTATATTTTACTTCGAAAGTTGTACATTAACATAATCTGAGTTTGGCAAATATCTGATGAAACGAAAAGAGAAAAAAAAATCACATCTATTAAAGTGTGCATGAACAAGAGGTATAGAAAGCACAGATGTGATACTGTTGAGGAAAGAAGTCACACACATGATGAGCCCATACCACATAATTCCATTTATATAAAGTACAAATACAGGTAAAGCCAATCTATGCTGTTGGATATATGATTGTGTAGGCAGGGACTAGAAAGGAGCAGAAGGAGGTTTTTTGGGGGTGCTAGGATTTTACTATTTTTGTTCTGTGGTGTTTCTCTTCTGTATTTTTGTTCCTGTGTTGATTACAGGAGTGTGTTCATTGTGTGAAATCCAACGAACTGCATTTACAAAACCTATACTTGTGCTCGTATATATTATCCTTCAAAAGCAAGCTTGAGGAAAAAAAATATCATGTCCGTGTTCCATAGCACAGAGGCAAGTCTTCACTTGGCTACGTCCACCTGTTTATCAAACTCCTATTTCTACTAAGATATAAAAAGTACAGTTAGCTGCTGTATCTCTGAGAAGAAAGGTTTTTTGTTCTGAGAATATAACAGAATTTGTGAGTCATCCATTAGGAGATGTTTTAATGGTGCCAAGAGCTAAGTAAATTCTGTGGTGGATTTGGCAAGGTCATTTGTCATTTTCACGTCAGCATGGTTTTGGCACTTGCTTCTCAGTAAAGAAATTCACTGCTGGAAACTAACTTTTAGCGAAGATGGTCTGTTTCTGACCAAATGGATTGTGACACAACAGAGAAAGTAATATGTTCCTGGCTATATTAATAATCAATGCAGGTGGCTGATTCAATAATTTCACAATTGACATGACTCATGGATTTTAAAGTTTATGAAAATAGACTACGCCAAGTAAAATTGTCTGATCACCCTAGTAAATGGGAGTGCATCTTGTATACAAGTGTTCAAATTCAGCTTGGATTTATAAAGCAGATAGTCTGAATATTTATTTTTTGATTGAGGTATATTTCTCCCTTTAATCTCACTTATGTTTTTTTTATTGGTGGTGGTAATAATTTTGTTTTTGTTTTGTTTCTCCAGTATTTTTGTAAGATATATTTTCAGGAATTAGGGATAATATCCTCATGGACTTTATCATCTTTCGTATTAGCTCTCAATACAAAATGACATGCTCAACAGCTACAGTGATTTCATCCAGTTTTCTTTGGAACAATTTGTGACTGAACTGGTGAATACATTATGCCCTAAGGTAATGCTAAATATGGTTAATGCTGAACTTTCTCTCATTTCTCTTTCTCTCTTGTGCACATATGTAAAATAAAACTGCGCATAAAAACTGGGCAGCAGAATAAATGTTCATAAAAATAATCAAGGTAGACATCTGGTTAAGACATGTGCTCAATTGTTTTGTTCAGCTTATTTAGAGCTCAGCGTTTTCAACATTTCTGTAAGGAATTCTCTGGTCTTTATAAAGCAAATCCCAGTCTGGATTATTTATCCCTTTAAAAATAACTCACTGGAATAACTTTTAATGGTGAATATTTTCTATTTAACCAGTTTAATGAGTTGGTCTCTTGTTCACTCCCAATTAAGGTAAAATTATGAGATTATTCTCATATTTACCCTAGTTTTCTTAGATCTGATAGATCATATACCCAGTTGAATTGGTAGTTTTTTTCATGAATTATTTAAATTTAAATTTAATGGCTGAATAAACAGGCATACCATTGAAACTGGTTATTAAGGCAAATGCTTAGCTATTATCATTTTGCTAGCACATGCCTCCACTGCTGTGGCTCTCTTCCAAAGCAGTATCTTCTGGCCAACGATAGGACACAAATTCATTAAATGGCTTTCATGCTTGTACTCCAAACACGAGTCTCAGAGTTGTTAGTAATTTTTCTTCTACTCTTAAACAAACCCTTAGCTTTTGAAAGCATCATCTTTATTTGAAATATATTTCTGGATAAAACAGCTCTGAAATGACACTAAGAGCCTGGCCTGTTAATTTGGCCAGTACCACACCACCATGGACAGATCCAGATCTGAGCAAAATTGAGTAAACACAAATTTAGTAAGAGGAAAATTTAAATACCATATAGAGTGGGGCAGGAGCAGGGTTGCTCAGGTGAGATTGTGAATAAGGCCCTAGGGAGAGTGGGACAAGTAGGTGCATGTTAGGACAACAAAGCAGAGCTTTGCCCAGTGGGGACAGAATAAGTGAGATCAAGCAAAGGTTTAGAAAACAGCTGGAATTATTTCCAAGTATTATCTTTTAAAAGTAGCTCTGTATTACCATACATTTTTTCCATTTTTCTTTTATGCTTTGTAAATGACAAATTATGTTCATCACAGAGAAAAATAGGGAGAATCATTTAACACAAACTTATGTATTAATAAACATTAAATAAAGTAATGCTTTGTCATGTTTTCCTCATATTTCTTTTTATGGAAAGAAATAAAATGATTATATAAAGAGTTAAAAACTTTTGCATGCCTTATCTGCTTCCACCCTCTTCTTTCCCTTCCAGAGTTTACCACAACCCTAAGATTCATGTGTTACTAATTCCCTACTTGATCAAAGGATCACATTAATAGATGCAGAAAAATCTTTGCCCATGTTTTAATTGGGTTATTTGTTTTCTTGCTATTGATTTGAGTTCCTTATATGATTTGCATATTAATCCTTTATCAGGTGCATAGTTTGCAAATACTTCTCAGATTTTGTGTGTTGTTTCTTTATTATGTTGATTATTTCCTTTGCTGTGCAGAAGCTTTTTAGTTTGATGTAATGCCATTTATAGATTTTTCACTTTTGTTGCCTATACTTTTGGTGTCATATCCAAAAAGTCATTGTCCAGACCAATGTCTTGGAGCTTTCCTCCTATGTTTTCTTCTAGTAATTTCATAGTTTTGGGTCTTACATTTAAATCTTTGATTTGAGTTGATTTTTGTATAAGAGTCTAACTTTAATCTTCTACATGTGATATCCAGTTTTCCTCCCACCATTTATTAAAGACACTGTGCTTTCCCCATTGTGTAGTCTTGGTATCTTTTTCAAAGGGCAATTGTCTTTAAATGTATTGATTTATTTCTGGGTTCTCTATTTTCTCCTATTGGTCTATGTGTCTGTTTTTATGCCAGTATCATGTTGCTGTTTTGATTACTATAGCTTTGTACTATATTTTGAAGTCAAGTAGTGTGATGACTCCAGCTTTGTTCCTTTTTCTCAAAATTGCTTTGGCTATTTGGGGTCTTTTGTGGTTCCATATTAATTTTAGGATTAATTTTTCTATTTCTTTGAAGAATGACATTAGTATTTTGATAGGGATTGTATCGAATCTGTACATTGTTTTGGGTTGTATAGGCATTTTAATATTAATTCTTCCCATCCATTAACACAAGATATATTTCCATTTATTTGCATCTTCAATTTCTTTCACCAATGTTTTATAGTTTTTAGTGTATAGGTCTTTCACTTCCTTCATTAAATTTATCTTTATTAAATTTATCCTAAGTATCTTATTTTTTTGTGGCTATTGTAAATGAGATTGCTTCTTGATTTCTTTTCCAGATAGTTCACTATTAGTACATAGAGATGCTATTAATTTTGTATGGTGATTTTGTATCCTGAAACTTTACTGAATTCATTTGTTAGTTTTAACAATTGTATATGAATTTTTAACTAAGTTTTGCTAGTTTTTCCCTTAGGACTAAGTTAATAATTAGCCCTAAATTTGTGAAATAACCCTTGAGGATTTTCTGAACCCTGCCCATTTCTTTGTAAATAATCTTTTAATTGAAGCCTATTGTTTTTTCAACATATTTATAATAGCTGCTTTAAAAGTCTTTGCTTAACATAACATCTGGGACCAATCACAGGAAGTCTGATTAGTATATATTGACTGGTTTTCCTTTTTCTTCTAGAATTTAAGTCACACTTTCTTGATTCTTTGCATCTATCTTGATTTTTAGTTGAATACTGGATATTTATGACAATATATCAACAACCCTGGATTTGGCTCCTACCTCTCTTCAAACTGGGTTGTTGTTTATAAACTTGTTCAGACTACATCTGTAAAGTACATCTCCCTAGTTAGTAATTCATGGCTACTAATTTCTGCTCAATTTTTGTTTGTCTTTATTTTTAAGCCTTGTGTTAGCATAGCTTAGAGATCATCCAAAGATTGGTCAGAGTTTATTCTTAAATACTTAAAACCAGTAAAGCTTCAAACTTCTTCCAATAGATTTATGTGCATACTGAAGAATATATTCAAGCTTTAGATCATTTTTAAACCTGTGGCAACTTTTATGTTCTTCCAGGCTCTCTCTTGACTCTTTTGACTGTTCACCTGGCCCCACAAGTCCTGTGAACAAGGTATGTGTGAATGCTGTGTGTCTACTCTGTTCATTCTGCACATGCACATAACCTCTGGTGAATCCAGGATATCAGATGAGCTTACTGAGCCCTCAGTGGCTGCTTCACCTCCCAGAACTTGCTATCCCCACTTAGTCTGTTGACCCTTCCTGTTTGTTTGCTACTGAAATCAATGCTTTAACTAACAACACCTCAGATCAAGCGAGTCTCATCCAGTAGTGGCAGTGAAGTGGCTAGTTTTCATGACTTGCCATGCCTTCATTGAAGTACCATGATGACAGATCCCAGGCTGTGGGACTGGGAGAAAAGGAAGTAGCCCTGGACAAGAATGCCCCAGACCTGTACTGCTCTTACCCAAAGTTCATTAATTTTCATAAATAAACACTTTGTTGTATACTTTTGGTCAAATTACAGACTACTGAAATGGTTTCTTTGAACATTTTGTTCAGCTTTATAGTTGCTTTTTGGAAAGTGAATTTGTTTGCCTCCTCATTCTACCAGGCTGATACTATAACTCAAGAGTTATAATGTTCAAATGAGATTGTCATTTGCCAAGGGATTATGTCCTTTGCGTTCATTTATATTAATAACTGTTCAGACACCTCTGAGGTCTGAACACTTTCCTTTTGTGTTTAGACACAAACAACCAGCAGGAATGTTTTACTATACCCTAAATTATTTGTATTTCCAATGTGGATTTAACCTAGATTTGCTCTTTCTTGGCCAAGCCAGTGTCTTTAAAGTATATCAAATTTTGTTTATCAATTTATCAGCTTTTAGTAGGCTCACTATGTTGCTCAGAAAAGTATTTTATCTTAAATTTCTTCCCCTATGTTAATAAATTCCTAATTCTCAGCAAGCAGTGCTACCTCTGCCACAGCTGTCCTGCATGTTCAGTTGAGCCTTGCTTTTAACACACAACTTTGTAGTGAACTAACATAGTCTTTGCTGTTAGTGACACAAATTTATTGAGGTACCTGTAATAAGTCCCCTTGTCCCCTTTTTTGGACTTCTATCTTGATATTAACACATAATTTACTATTCTTTTAGTCTCTAGTTTTGCATTACAATGGCCTATCTTTTCATGAACAAATGGTTTCTATATAGAATTTGGGGTAATAATATCTTCACAAGAGAGAACCTCAGGTGATTATTCAGTAATAAGTGACAAGGAAAATGATTCTGAAGTTCCTGGGTGATAATAAATATCAGTTACTACCTCACCCTGATGGCTAGCTTCAGGAATCTGGAGGAATAATGGGAAGAGAGCAATAGCTATTACTTTTGGACGACCTGCTCTATACCAGATACTATGGTTTATCTGCATTACCTGAATTATTTCATGTAGTTCTCACCAAAAAATGAATAAATAAAACTATAGAGTATGCATTGTTGTTCACATTTTAAAAGTTAAGAAATTGAGGCACAAGTTCTGGGTTTAAAATCTGTATTGTAAAGAGCCTGGTGTGGAATGGTTAGTATGAATAATCAGAGCAGACGCTGGCTGCACACAACCATGATGGCTTTACTGATGCTTAAAGGGGAAACAATAAAAAAAAGGGTAAATCAGTATTCTATGTAGCCACAAATGACAGAAATTTCAAATAATATTAGTTTAACAAGTAAGCTGCTATTATTCTCTCACATACATTAATATTGTTATTTCGTACAAATCAAGGATGAGATTGGCCCTGGATTGCATATGCCTTTACAGACTCGTAATGGATTTAGGACTTTTTTATCTTCTTGCTTTTCCTATTGATTTTGTCTTCATAATCACAAGATGGATGCTAAACCCTCAGACCTCATGCCAGAATTCCCAAAAAGGAAGAGGAAGAATGACGAAGGGCAAAAGATCAAAGAGATAGGCTTGGACCTTTTTAGAAAGGTTTCCTTGATTCTGTCTTTTGAATTCAATGACACCACCAGACATTAGGTGCCTCATGATGTGATACAATATGACGTATATATGTAAAATTATGTTTGTTTTTGTACTCTTGCCAAGAAGTTGAACCTAAATCTAATCACCGAAAAGTTATGCCAACATCCAATTTACAGTACATACAGGGCTAAAGACATAGGTAAAATGACACCAAGAAGAGCAATTACTAATATATATATATTCAGAGTGCAGATCATTTTATAGGACACATAATCAGATTTCATCAACATTTTAAAGACATGGAGAAAAAATTAAACAAAAATGATGGATGAAATTATTCTAGATTGAAAGAGGTGTAAGACTCATTACAATCAAATACAATGAGCAATCTTTGTTTGGATTCAGAGTCCAAATAGCATTTCTGTATGAGATAATAGGAAATTTTGAATTGGCCTGAATTTTGTATGATATAAATTAAATATATTGTTTCTGTGCATGTGGACATGGCATTAGGGTTTTATAAGGAAAATGTTCCTACTTTTGAAAGATGCACATGGAATGAGGCCAAATGTTGTTTGTTATTTGCAACAACAACAACAACAATATATGGAAAACAGGATTAAAGGAAATATATATAGATAAAGCAGGGTGCATAGAGCCAATTCATAGAATTTGCACTGGTACATATCAAAGCATGCAGCGTAACTGAGAAAAGGAAGATAAAAAATGACACAAAGGGCTGGTTGTAATGGTTCATACTTATAATCCCAATACTTTGGCAGGGGCCTAGGTGGCAGGATTGCTTGAGGTCAGGAGTTCGAGACCTACCTGGGCAACATAGAGATACCTCATCTCTACAAATATATAAATAAAATACAAATAAAAATTAGCTGGAGATGGTGACATGTGCCTATAAACTCAACAACTCCAGAAACTGAGGCAAGAGGATCCTTTGCTTGTGCCACTGCCTTCTAGTTTGGGTGACAGAATGAGATCCTGTCTCAAAAAAAAAAAAAGGAAAAAAAAAACAAAGCTAGAAAATGTAAAAAAAAAAAAAAATGTTTTAAAACTAAGGAAACATAGCCCATAGAGTAAGACTTTTTTTTTTTAATTCCAGTTTCTTTTCAGGGTTATCCCTGTGCTAATCTGCAAATTCCATGGCATTTTACCCATGGGAGCTATTCATTTTTTTTTCTTCTCTGCCACTCACATGTAACGGTTACTTCCTTTCTCTTGATTTCACCAATAATCACTCGTGTATATTTGAATATGGAGCTGACGTTGCTGATATTTGGGGACATATATCTTCATATAAAAGAAACATGGATGACTTAAAACTAGGTTCAGGCTTTGGACTCCCACCATACTTTTTGGTCCTCCCTCACTCTTCTATTTGTTCTCCCTGACATTACCCAGAGAGTTCTCTATACTTTACTACACAGAACAATGTAGCTTTCTGCTCTCTTTCATATTTCCAAAATCTCAATGTATCTGGGAAATGATACACCATCTATTGCAAGTTTTAGCCTTCTTATATCCCACACTGGTCTTTATTAAGATATAGCAAGATTTATATGGAGAAAATAACAATATTTGCTTCCTCACTGATATAAACTATGCTACACCACCACCACCAGAAAGTAAAACTAGCTATAGTTTTTAAAATATTTTTGTGGTTTTAAATATATTTATTTTTAAACATTTGTTTATTTTTAAGTATATTTTTATTTCAGATTTATTTATCTAATTGAATCAGGCTTTATATACTATTTTAATTTTTAGTTTACATTTTTCTCATGTCCTTAAGTTTTATTGGCAATTTTATCATTCTTGTATTTTGCCAACTCCCCAAAACACACACAAAAATTTTTTATGTATCTTTTGTTATTGTCACCCACTGTGGAAGATAGGTTACCTATATTCTTCTCTATCTTCACAATCATGTTAGAATACTTTGACATAAAGACTTTTCCTTACTTTGATTGCTGGGATTTATTTTTCCAAGTTACAGAAAAATATAGACATTATAGACTTGCTTGCTTCATAGAAGTTATACATACCACCCAAGCTTTTGTGTCTACATACAGAGGTGGAAACAGAGGGTCACTATTCCTTTTAGGAGGAGGAGTAATTATAAAGAGATATCCATCTGGGGACTTAAAGTCTATTAAGAGATAGTAATGCCAGACCCCTTCAATGACTTTGAAAGTGAAATATATGTAGACTTTGAATCAATCCACCAATGTGCTGCATCGCCTACGACTCTTAACAAATACAACTCCCTTATCTGAGGGTAATATGTTCCAAGATCCCCAGTAGATGACAGAAACTGAGGATAGTGCCAAACCCTATGTAACCTCTGTTTTTCACTTAAACCCATGATAAAGTTTAAGTAATAAATTTGGCACAGTAAGAAATTAACAAGAGTAATCAATAACAAAACAATAATAATGACAATATATTGTATAAAAAGTATGTGAATGCGGTGTCTCTCTTTCACAAAATATCTTTATATTTTTGGATTAGGAGTAACTGAAACCACAGAAAGCAAAACCTCAGATGAGGGGTACTACTGTCTGTGAAAATAGAGGACAAGATTTCCATCCACAATGTCTTTGCCAGCACTGAAGTGATGTTTAATGAAACACTGCTGGGCTGGAGATTTATAAAGAGCAGATGGCAGCAGGATTCTCAAGGAGCTTTTGAAATGCAGTTGAAGAGGATAAGTTCAAGCAGGGAGGACAGAAGAAATGCCCTAAGGATGAACAGAATCACAGCTTCAGGTAATGCACCCTAGATGTGGATTGCTGGGAAACCATGAAGAACCGGGTCACTCTTTTTGATCAATGCTTCAGGTTGACTGAGTCTAAATTGTAGACTCCAGACTAACAGTGGGCTAAGTGGATACACTAGAACTACATGAATTTAGGCACATAATATAGAATATATGAATAATTTAAACAGTGCTGACATGTCTTTTTGAAAAACAACTTCCTTAATTAATTTTAAGATGAACATTTACATTTCTAAGACTGCACAACTTTTCATATTATTAGAACCACCAATTTCAAACAAAAACAGGCAAAGTTACTCATTATAAATAATTCTTTTACACTTATTATAGTAGGTTCCTCAATGTTTTTCATCAGGAAACCCCTTGTTAACTGACTTATTTTATAACCTTAAATCAATTAAATAATACTTTTTATCATTTAGATTTCTGTTTAATTTAGAACACATTTCTATAACATTCGCCTTACTTGGTCATGATTTATTTATTTTGAAAATATAAACTAAGACTTATCAGGTGTTTACTATGGTACCAGAGAGTGGACTATCACTTCATATCCATTTTGCCATTTAACGTGAAAACCATCTTATTAAATATGTTCTGTATGACTCTCATTTTATAACTCAGGAAACTGAGGGTAAGTAACTTCATCAGGTCCACACTATTAGTGAATGGTAAAGATGGGATACAATCCTATATTTTTCTATCTCCCAGAATAATCATCTTCTAGTATCTCATATAACATGTAAATAAATGGACCCAAATTATGCTTTACCAATTCCAGGAGCTCAATAACTCTTAGTTGATTTTTTCGACTTTATAAGTTTGCAATGCAAACAGATTTTTAATAATTGATCAATCAGTATGAATTCAGTAAATTTCAATTAATTTTAATATCTTTAAAACACCTTGTGGTTGAGTCCCCAGTATTGATTCCACCCCAGCCAATAATCTGAGCAAGCCATGGTAATCCTAATCCTTTTGCCAGGCTAGTGAAAGGAGACATGGCATGTCTTCAGGGAACGGTGAATGCAGAATATGAGGCCATCCTACTCTCCTATGAGCAACTAGCCTTAAGATGAGCCCAGCATTGTGGATGAGAGAAAGAACGCCAGTCATTTATCACACTGTGAGTCTCTAGATATACTAAGTGGATCCCTATCTATTAGCTTATACCTTTAATTTTTACAACCAGCATGAGTAGGTCTTCTTGTCATTTGCATACAAAAGTATGAGAGGTAAGAAACTGGGGTTGGTAGGTATTATAGGATAAATTAGAATTAGCTTGAAATCCAGGTATGTAACTGCCACTATAGTAAATAAAGAGCCATTCTCGGTTTTAAAAGGGATGATGGCATAATGCAAAATTTCATCAATAACACTGTCCTAGAAGTGTCCCACAACATAGACTCCCTGGTGGAGGGTGGTTAGACTTTGGCCTAATATTAAAAGCATAAAGAGAATATAGCTTATATATATATATATATATATAAAGAGAAGACAGGAAATGAACCCAAAGTGTGGTAAGGAATAATGTGACTTTTACTCACTTACGCTAGGATATTGATTAATCTCATGATAAGGAAGAGGGAAATGACAATAATGAACGTGAATTCCCTAGATTGGATAATAATAAATAATTTATATAGAGCTTTTCTATCATTGTTCTACGTGCTTTAGATATATTGACTCATTTAATTATCCAATGGTCTACGTAGTAATCATTATAGCTACGTAGTAGTTAACTACGTAGTAGATAACTACGTAGTAGTTATCCTTTTACAGATGAGAAAATAGAGTAACTTCTCTAAGGCCACAGCTAGTGAATGACAGAGCTAGGATTAAGTCCCATGCAGATATTATAAATTGCAAGTATGGATCTGTGAGGGAAATAATCTGGAAAATAAAATAAATGTCTTGAAAATATTGGGTTTGAGATGATGATGAAGATCCTGGGTATCTGAGATCACAGCTTAAGTGAATGAATGGTTGGAGAAAGGAATAATGTGAGCACTTTAGATATCAAACCAGTGAATCATAAAAGCAGTGACCTAATAATATCACATAGATTTGGAAAACATTTTTAAAGACTATTCTTACCAAGAGTTCAAATGTATTACTAAATTAATATAGCTTTAATTTGCACTAACAATTTAAAGTTGACAAATTAAAAAAAAAAACAGAATTTGTCAGTGACTTTGCTATGATGATTGCAAAACAGTACGTTTCAAACAGAATAGGATTATGATTGTTTGATTAACATTTTCCAGTTTATCTCACTATTATTCTATTTTTTTTCTGTCTAACTTGGTAGAAATAGTGAGTATTAAGATAGGACCACATTGTACTTATGATGAAATGGCCCTTATTCTTCTTTTCACTGTTTAGCAGTTAATATATCACTCTGCAAATGATTTTTCTTTCTTCAAAGATGAATCTATTTTTACTAAGTTCCCTAAGATATATAATCACCTGGAAAAATAAGAAAGAGTTTAGTTGCGTGATAAATTATGCTGCTTCTGTGTATTGTATACCCAGGTTTACTTGATAAATGTTAGAAAGGAGAAAGAAGTTCCTACAATCTCGTGGTTTAAGAAAAATGCCTAGACTTACACCAGGCAAAAAATTATTTCATACTCTATCAACTGGAGGTCTTTTATCTTCTCCATCTGGGATAATTAGTAAGGTTATCAGTGTACCATTAATTTAAATCTGAGTTCTGGCTGATTTAATCAGATTCTCAAAGGTACATGTAAGTAACTGGAGATTTTGCTTGAGTGGGCAAATAAAGGAAAGAAAAGAATTCATAAGGAATGAGGGGTCAGACTCTACACTGTGGTGGAACAAAATTCTATACTGGCCATTCCACAAGTGCCATTTTTACTTTAGGACTTACTTTTCTTATGTGACTATATACAAATAATGTAAATGTAAAACTATGAGCTTTATCAAATGAAATATATACCTTACACATTGCAATGTATACATGACCTATGAGGAATCTATGATCTTAAGACTGATGTTCTGACCAGATAAAGTGGTTTTGAGATACCTTCTCCAGACTACGTTTCCTAAACAAAAAGTCATCAGGAAAATGTGCAGCTATTGAGCTTAAATTTAACCAACTAAAATATTTAAGCCATTACAAGCTTGTTTTAAAAATCTGATAAGTTGACAAAAAAACCCCACAATATTTAAAGTTACAGGCATGCAAATATTTAGTAAAGCATTAGTTTTACATGAACTTTTCTAAGGATTTTATAACTACTTTACTAGTAATTGGGCACCTATTATGTGCCAGACAATGTGCTGGGAGTGGGAATACAAGGGCAAATGTGAAACTGACTTCAACGCCAAGTTATTCATTCACAGTCTAATAACAAACACAGGTGACACTGAAATACAATTTACTTCCAATTTTTAAAATAGGTTAGAGCATTTCTTATTAATAACAAAGTTTATGTTATCATGTGCCTCTGAGTTTTGAAGTTGTCACAAAACAGTCCTACCTTTTTAAATGCTAACAGATGACTCTCCTATTTATAAATTTCAGCTTCATCTGAAATCATATGTACTTTTTACTTTTATTATTTTCCCAAAATATTATCTTTACTCTAAATAGCATTAATATAAATACTTTATTATCACAAAATTTGCAAAGATATTCTTTACACAATTCAAAACATCTTTGTATCACTGAATTATCCTATTTTTGAATTTTTATTAATTTAAAACAACTACATGAAATAAAGTTAGAGAAATGCTAAAAATTTTACAAACGGAATATATTATATCAAAATGTGTTAAGCTCCTCTCCTTCATTTTTTCCTTTATTCAAAATAAAGTGAAGTGTTCTCTTATTACCTGGAACTAAGATGAAAAAAACTCCAATCATTCATTTAATCGGACATTAATTGCAAATTAATTTTCATATATTTATTTGGAAGAGGAAGAATAATAAGCATTATTACACACTCTTCATAAAAACCTAATACAGAAGATTATTTTTCTCTGAGCATAAAAACAAGTATGCAAGGAACAATTTTAGTGACAAATATACCATATGTCCAGTTAAAGTTAGATTGTGAAGAATAAGCTGAAAAGTCTAATATTTGTTTAAAATTTATGGGTATGTTTAAATAGAAGGCAAAAGCATGACTATGTCCTCTTTTAATGCTTTCTTGAATTTTGATATTCTTTACTCTGCAGCATTCAGTAGAGGATCTTATGTAAAAACGGTACTAATAAATTTGTGTGCAGAAAATGAATAAAAATACTGCATTGGAGAGAATATGACTCAAGTCATGCTTCTTTTCTTCCTACCCCCACTCTCTGAAATGCAGCCAAAGGCAATTCAATTTGTGTTTTATCTGAGGTGATGCATTGCTGTACATCCACTCCGGATGGCAAAGGAGCAGCAAAGGGGGTTACTGAGGCAGAATTAGACTAATCAAGTTTCCGTTTCCATTCCGCCTAAAGGGAAAGATGACACCTGCTTGTGCAGCTTCAAAGTGTTGAAATCCTCTCTGCTTTCATGTGGTTACTACGCATATTCTCTGGTGGCTTGAATGAGGGGAATGCATTATAGTTTTAAACTTTGATGCCCTATTAAGATGAATGTGCACCTAATGAGCTAAGAAATTATCAATGCTGCTTCCGCCTGCCCCTCCCTCTACTATCTTGAGGGAACTGGCTAATCAGGTTGGGAATGTGTCTTCTCTGTTCTCACACCACTGGCTGTGAAATTTTGGCCAAGGACCTTATTCAAACACATGTTCAGTATATTAACAATCTAAGCAATAAGTAATGCTTCAATTAATAAAGCAGAAAGAAAAGTTTGTTTTTAATAATGAATCCAGTAGTCTTATGAAATTTGTATATAAACAGCCACGAAACCCAATGAATATAATTCATAGGCTAAATGTACTGAGTA